AAAAAATACATTTTTTTTGTTTTTAAACATGTCCTTATTAGTCATTTGATGTTAAACAACAACCACTAACTATTGTATAATTAAACAATTATATTTATCTAATATGTTATTTACCATCCGCTACCCACTTTCTGCTATTCACTATCCACTATCTACTAACCTCAACCCACTACCCACTACAGCTATCCGCTATCCGCTGAATTTTAACAGCGGTACCGGCCCTAAAATACAGCCGTAAATTAAAGGTTAAAAATGTTCAATGATTCGCCGGCGACAAGGGACGAGGAAAAAATTGTCCAGCCTCCGTAAACGGTAAGCACCTGCTGCCGCGAACAAAGGTTGAAAAATCAACCCTTTAATAGTAATACCCCCAAGATCCACGATATTGAAAGTCTCCTCCCACTCATTCTTCTTCTTCATCTACCCACTTTCGATAGAAAGCATAATCCCTACCACAGACTCAGAACGGTGCACAGGAGCAATGATCCTTCAATTGCTCTCTCTGTCTCTCATCCTCTACGTCTCCCCTTTCTTCCTCACCCAATCTTTATCTGCCACCCTCTCTCTGGGCTCCACACTTCTTGCCTCTAACACCAACCAGGCTTGGACCTCCCCGAATTCAACCTTTTCTCTCTCCTTTGTCTCTGTTGGTGCTTCCTCCTACGCCGCCGCCATCACCAACTCCGGCGGAGCCGCGGTCATCTGGACAGCTGGTGGGGACAACGGAACCGTTGACTCTGGTGGGTCCCTTCAATTGCTCTCCAGCGGACTACGCCTTACCAACGGCTCCGGCGCCACCGTCTGGGAATCCAGCACGGCCAACCGTGGAGTCTCCTCCGCGTCTCTGACCGATTCCGGTGAACTGCTGCTAAGCAATGCTAGCGCCACTGTCTGGTCCTCCTTCGATCACCCAACTAATGCTATCGTTCCGTCGCAAAATTTTACTTCGGGTATGGTTCTCCGATCTGGGTTGTACTCGTTTTTTCTTCTGAGTTCAGGTAATCTCACTTTGAGATGGAATAATAGTATTGTGTATTGGAATCAGGGGTTGAACTCGTCAATAATAAATGCTAATTTAAGTTCGCCGAGTTTAGGATTGCAGAGTACTGGGATTTTGTCGATCTTTGATTCTAATTTGATTGGTGGGACGATAATAGCATATAGTAGTGATTATGCAGAAGGGAGTAATATATTGAGATTCTTGAAGTTGGATAGTGATGGGAATTTGAGGATTTATAGTTCTGATGGGGGTAGTAACACTAAGACTGAGAGATGGGCAGCAGTTACTGATCAGTGTGAGGTTTTTGGTTTCTGTGGAAACATGGGGATTTGTAGTTACAATGATACTAATCCAATTTGTGGATGCCCGTCCCAGAATTTTGAGCCTGTTGATGTGAATGATAGAAGACAAGGGTGCAAGAGGAAAATGAAGATTGAGGATTGTCCGGGGAGTGCAACTACGTTAGAATTGCCGCACACTAAGTTTTTGACTTACCAACCTGAGCTATCTTCCGAGACTTTCTTTGTGGGGATATCAGCTTGTAGATTGAATTGTCTTGTGAGTAGTTCCTGTGTTGCTTCCACTTCTTTGTCAGATGGAACGGGGCTGTGTTACTTAAAAACGCCAGATTTTGTTAGTGGTTATGAGAGTCCTGCACTTCCTAGCACTTCTTATGTCAAGGTTTGTGGACCAGTTTCACCAAACCCACCTCCTTCTTGGGAGACTGCAAAGAAAAGTTGGAGGCTGCAGGCATGGATTATAGTGGTTGCGATTGTGGCTACCCTTTTTGTTTTGATTGCATTGGAAGGTAGTTTGTGGTGGTGGTGTTGTAGGAATAGTCCTAAATTTGGGGCTCTATCAGCCCAATATGCACTTCTTGAGTATGCATCTGGTGCACCTGTTCAGTTCTCCTACAAGGAGCTGCAGCGCTCAACCAAAGGATTTAGAGAGAAGCTTGGAGCTGGAGGATTTGGGGCTGTCTATAAAGGAGTTCTTGCTAACAGAACAGCTGTTGCAGTGAAGCAACTGGAAGGGATTGAGCAGGGCGAGAAACAATTCAGAATGGAGGTTGCCACAATTAGTAGCACCCACCATTTGAATTTAGTGAGATTGATTGGTTTTTGCTCTGAGGGTCGTCATAGGCTTTTGGTATACGAGTTCATGAAGAATGGGTCTCTAGATAACTTCCTTTTTGCAACAGATGAGCACTCAGGAAAGATGTTAAATTGGGAGACTCGATTTAATGTTGCTCTCGGAACTGCCAGAGGGATCACATACCTTCATGAGGAGTGTCGAGACTGCATTGTTCACTGTGATATAAAGCCTGAGAATATCCTTTTGGATGAAAATTACAATGCCAAGGTGTCAGATTTTGGCCTGGCTAAACTCATAAACCCAAAGGACCATAGACACCGAACCTTGACAAGTGTCAGAGGGACAAGAGGGTATCTGGCACCAGAATGGCTTGCAAATCTTCCAATAACTTCAAAATCTGACGTTTATAGTTATGGAATGGTTTTGCTGGAGATAGTGAGTGGAAGAAGGAATTTTGAAGTTTCAGCAGAGACAAATAGGAAAAAGTTCTCTGTGTGGGCTTATGAAGAATTTGAGAAAGGTAACATGGAGGGAATTCTTGACGGGAGGCTTGGTGATCAAGATGTGGATATGGAGCAGGTCCTTAGGGCAATCCAGGTTAGCTTTTGGTGCATCCAGGAACAACCATCTCAGAGACCAATGATGGGCAAGGTATTGCAGATGCTAGAGGGAATCACAGATGTTGAGAGACCACCAGCACCAAAGGCTGTCACCGAAGGTTCTCTTAGTGGGACCAGTATAAATATGAGCAGTAACATCAGTGCTCTCTCAACTTTTGCAGCTTCAGCACCAGCCCCCTCTTCATCTTCATCATTGCAAACTCCAGGGGTGTCATCTATTGTTTCAGGAAGGAATACAGAGAAGGCATCTTCTTCCCTGCTAGAATCAGAGACAAAATGAAGTCCACAATCAGACATCAAAAGTTCCCCACAAAAATTGACCCTGGATTGGTAACTCTCTAAATCTGCATTTCACATGAAGTCAATGGGGTTAACTTGGTGCCGATATGATACAATTGTTGATGATGTTGAAATGATATCTTGTAAAAATTTGTCAGCCATAGCAAATGATTTTGTCAAGATGGTGCTTCACTGTTTTAGGTTAATTGTTGAATTCCATTTCCTTCAGACATGTGGTTAGTAATGTCGCAACCAACGTATACTCTAACTTGGGATCAATATGAATATTGGAAATGTTTACACTACCAAGAAATTTTCCAGTTGAAGTGCTTGGATATCCAGAGGAATTGTATAAACCTGTTAAATCCCCTGTTAGTTCTTCTAGTAAGAAGAACAAAAGCAACATAGGGAAGGAGCCTGTTGTTTTATGCGGTTTATTGGAAAATCCTTCTGCACTGCCCTTGTTTTTACCATTTCACTTACCAGGGCAACAATATAAAAACCGCTGCTTGCAATACCATATCTGGTTCTGAGTTTTACATATGGAGAAGATAGCATGTCTTTTTCAAGAATAAACATTACCATTTTAAACTTCTATTTAACCAATGTGAATCCTGCTTTTGGATTAGAGAAAATGTTTTGCAGAGTGTCATTTTCAGTTGCCGGCGGCCAAAACAGCACTACCATTAACATTTATCAGCCAAAGCCAACCCCCATTTCTGGTTTATGGAAATTGGAAATTAAATACTGAGACTTTAAACGTTGCCGTTCTCGCCGAAACACAATAGCCTCTTATTATGAGCCCTAAAAGCCCACAATGAGTTGAATGCTCGCTCGACGCGCACTTCGCTCAGCCTGCCAGCCATCCTATAAGGAAAAAGATAAAAAACTAGGTTTGATGCCAACTTTGGTCCTCGACCCATTGGGTTTGTTCTATTTTGGTCCCTCAACTTTTTTCGGTCCAACATGGGACCAGCCCACAAGTTAAAAGCCTAATCACTAAGTTCTAGTCACATTATATGAGATGAAGTGGGTGGATGAGATATGATTACTTCACATTGTATAATTTAAGATCAATATACATATTGTTGAAAGAGGAAAGAGAACATTTTTGTGTAGAGTATGTCCTAATAATTGAATATAGAATTTTATTTCATTTTGGTATCGATTTTACATAAAATTAAAACAGAATATAAGAATAACAGCCCTAATTACTTTGGATAATTTTTTCCTTTCCAATTAAGTTGGATACCACAATTGAACCCAAATATTGCATGGCATGTACATGACAATAACCTCTCAACTTAAACATATCTATCGTGTATTTTTGTATTATGTGACTTTAATATTTATATTTGTGTGGCCATAGCCCGAAAATTGAGTGCATTAATTTGTTCCCTCCTTCCAAGACACATGATTCCATGTTCCTTGGCATGGGGAGGGCCAATTAAATTACACAAAGTAAAAATATAGAAGTATAATGTGCCAAACCTAGAACTAGCTTAGCTTTGTCACCATGACAAGCACATGGCATATCTAGCTAGGTTTGATATTGACATAATTCTTCATGCAAAAATGTAAAATATGTTTCCCAGTGAAATCTATATATTCCGCAAAATTAATTAAAAAGAAAAAGGGAAGTATCGGATAGAACAAGGGAATTTTATTGTTATGCTTTGGTATGGAAAATATAAAATTTAAATTTGGTAGGAATATTCATCATTGCCTTTATAAATTTTCAGACTATATGAATTCAGCATGCCGCCGGGACATGCAAGCCTAGGTCGTGTTTGGTTTAGCAACTTTTTCGGGAAATGAAGCAGAAGTGGTCAAGTCAAAAATGGTTGAGTAGCTTATACAAAAACACAAATGTGTGTTTTTCAATACGATATTTTTTTTTTCTCATAATTTATATATTAAAATTATTTAAATATTTTTAATAAAAATGCTTTATATTTTTTAATTAATAATGTTTTGATAATTTTAATATTTAAATTATTCAAAAAAAAAATTCATACTAAGAAAACACATTTCTCATAAAAATGCAAAAATATTTGATCATTCTGTTTACAGAAATGTTTTGTGCATATCAAATTATGCCAATTGCATGATATAAATCATTAAAGAAAAGAAAAACTCCTCATAGTAGGGTAATATTTTCATTCAATAATTTTAATTTTACAATTAGATACAAATTTAAGTCTTAAAATTGATAACTCATGTATACTTTCAAAGACTTACTAGTAGGTCAGCATCAATCCACTATTTTAACAAAAGAGCGCAGTGGTACTGTTTTAGTTTAACACAATATTTCAAATGAATAATAATTGATATATTTTCTAATTCAATACACTTATCAATATTTATCGATTCAATTATTAAATTTTATAAATACCCTCTAATTCAACACATTTATCAATACTTATCGATTCAATTCTTAAATTTCATAAGTAAAATTTTTTGTCATGAATTTAAATTTAACAATAATAATTTAATAAGTGTATTATGAAACATGTTAAATAAAAAAATATATCAATCATTATTCTTAAAAAATAACTTACCAATAACAATTAATTATTTTAATGAAATGATCAACATTTTAATTTAATCTTTTGTAAATCAAATCCTCAAATCTCGACAATGTCAAAATGGAGATAAAGTTTGTCTCGTGGTACTTTTGGCGCACTAATATTCTTGTGAGCCACTAAATATGTTTTAAATACGTGCTTTAATGGATAGTTTAGCATATCTTCCCATTATATGCCTAACTATAGCCATCACCTTTTCAAAAAAACTATTGAAGTCCCTTTTCTCGAATCTCCTCAATTCCATGACTAAAGTATTTGAAGCTTTGGTAACTGAAATAGTAGTAGTATTTATATATAAAAGGATATTTTGATTAAAAAAATTAAATAATCACAGACAACTTATTTGGTTTGAGGGAGGAGAAGAAGGGAAGTGGACAAAAACTTACCATAAAGCAATCAAATTATTTCATTTACCCAATGATTTAATTTAATTAATCAAAAGATGTATACCTCATTAGGCTAACAATTTAATTTAATTGGTTGAAATAAGGCCATGTCCTCGTCCTCTCCCTTTCTCTCAATTTCCCTCAAACTAAATAGGCCAAAAATTTCAATTTAGTGGCCAAGCATGTAATGCTCATCTAAATGCTAAGTATACAAAGTAACAAAGGAATAATTAAGTTTCTCTTTATAGACTAGATTTTCCACTTTGAATTTGTTCTTATGCATCTGAGTGCGTACAAAACACATGAGAGAAAATGTGTAAGTAAGGTGCCAATTTTACACATTTTTTATATTTAAAAATGTTAAATTTATTAATTTGTAAATAAAAATATCATTTTTAACTTTTTATTTAATGGTATTAACTTTTAATTTTTTTCTATTTAAAAAAATCAACTTTTAACTTTTACTATTTAAAAATATCGATTTTTAACTTTTTCTATTTAAAAATTAATTTAAAAATTAATTAGATAGTGCTATTGACATGGCAAATGGATATTTTAACCAAAATGTTGAAAGTTGTCATCTTTAAATAAAAAAAAAGAAGTTAAAAATTGATATTTTTAAATAAAAAATTTAAAAATTAATATCTTTATTTACACATTTTTTTCAAACCAATACGACACATAACACTTTATCTCAAAGTTAAATCCCTTGATCAAACATTTGTCTCATGCCCTTAAAAGATGCCTCTAAGGTTTTGCAATTTTTCCAGGATTTATTTAGTGAAAGGTAATTCGTCCATGTCCAAAGGATTAAGAAATTCATGAAGAAACATTACAAATACTCGTAGCATTTCATGGAAAAAATATATCAAATATACTCTTTTAGATATCAGCTAGTCCTCTAACATATTGCTGTCAAAAATGACTCTCTCTACTCCCATGTAGAAACACAACATTTCTTTTATAGTCTTGAACCATTTTATACATGTAGAAAGAGAGAGAAAAACAAACCATTTTTCATTCTCCTCTCTATTTTTTTTTTCCCTTCAATATTCTTATGGTTTAAAATTGTACATTATTAATAAAGAAAATTATTGATACACTTTCTAACAAAATACACTTATCAACATCTATTGATATAACCAATAAAATATGAAGTTTTAAGTTTTCTTACTTTTAATTTAAATTTAAAAATAATAATTTTTTAATAAATATGTTGTGAAATGTGTTAAATCAAAATGTGTATTAATCAATATTCTATTAATAATGTAGTCTTAACACATTTGAATTGTAACAAATAACCCCATCGAAAATTATCATTTTTTTTACTACTAACTTTCCCTAACCAAAATTAATCTGGTAAAAATTTTCAGTAAAAATCGTTTCCCGAATAAAACAAATAGAGGGGACTCGTATTCATAAGGGAATTTATTTTTAAGCAAATGATAAAAGAGAAGAAATATCATTGGCCTTTCCATAAAATGGTTCCCCATCCTAGCTTTCACCTTTTACCTCATCTAATGTTTTTTTTTTTTCTTCTTCTTCTTCTTCTTTAGCCCCTTTAAATTGAATCAAACATTTTTTTAACCATTAGAGTGTTCTCGGAAAATTTTTCTTTCGTTGAGTTAAAGATAAATCATTTATGTCAAGATTAGAAAATATATGAGAAATTGTTTTAATAGCAAAAAATAAAAAAGAAAACACATGAGAAATTATGTTTTTATTAGTTTTCTTACACAATTAAATCTTAAAAAATAAGGTGAGGAATAAATCCTTTAATTACCAACTAACCCACAACTCTTTGAATATCAAACATTTGTTATAATACAATTAATCACAGAATTATGAACATATAATATGTATGCCATACTTCAATGCCAATTAAAATGAAACAATCTCTTATCTCTCCATATAATTTTATGAGAACTCTTTTCAATTCCTTTGCTTTTTTTTTTTTCCAAAATACTGTTATTATTATTATTTTTCAACAAGCTTTATTTTAATTTTTAAACCCTTTTAACTTTAAAATAAATTTTAATTTATATGTGATTGTAAAACTATAGGGGATTCATCAATTTAAAGTTCAATGCAGTAATTTTACAGTTATATATTTATAAGGGATCCTGATTTTCCCTTTTGTCATAATATATAATAGTATTATTTTTTATACCGATTAAGATATTGACTAGTAGTTCACAAGCTTGACATACAAGCTCGCT